GGTGTGGTGGAAGATTCAGTTGTTGGTGTTAATGTTGATGTTGATGTGGAAGATTTAGTGGTTGGAGTGGTGGATGCTTCGGTTGTTGGTGTTGTGGGATATTTGCTGGTTGATTCTGAACTGGTTGGTGTGGTGGAAGATTCAGTTGTTGGTGTTAATGTTGATGTTGATGTGGAAGATTCCATTTTTGGAGTGGTAGATGCTTCGGTTGTTGGTGATGTGGGACATTTGCTGGTTGATTCTGAACTGGTTGGTGTTGTGGTAGATTCAGTTGTTGGTGTTAATGTTGATGTTGATGTGGAAGATTCCATTTTTGGAGTGGTAGGTGTTTCGGTTGCTGGTGTTGTGGGATATTTGCTGGTTGATTCTGAACTGGATGGTGTGGTGGAAGATTCAGTTGTTGGTGTTAACGTTGATGTTGATGTGGAAGATTTAGTGGTTGGAGTGGTGGATGCTTCGGTTGTTGGTGTTGTGGGATATTTGCTGGTTGATACTGAACTGGTTGGTGTGGTGGAAGATTCAGTTGTTGGTGTTAATGTTGATGTTGATGTGGAAGATTTAGTGGTTGGAGTGGTNGTTGTTGGTGTTAATGTTGATGTTGATGTGGAAGATTTAGTGGTTGGAGTGGTAGATGCTTCGGTTGTTGGTGTTGTGGGATATTTGCTGGTTGATTTTGAACTGGTTGGTGTGGTGGGAGATTCAGTTGTTGGTGTTAATGTTGATGTTAATGTGGAAGATTTAGTGGTTGGAGTGGTAGATGCTTCGGTTGTTGTTGTTGTGGGATATTTGCTGGTTGATTTTGAACTGGCTGGTGTGGTGGAAAATTCCGTTGTTGGTGTTAATGTTGATGTTGAAGTGGAAGATTCAGTGGTTGGAGTGGTAGAGGTTTCGGTTGTTGGTGATGTGGGACATTTGCTGGTTGATTCTGAACTGGTTGTTGTGGTGGAAAATTCAGTTCTTGGTGTTAATGTTGATGGCATTGTTGTGGTTTCAGTTGTTGATTGTGAGGTGGTAGATGTTGGTGAAGGTGATGGGGTTTGCATTGTGGTTTCGGGTGTTAAAGTGGTCGTAGCTTCGGTCAAAGCAGTTTGCAAAGTCGATATTAACGTTGAAATAGTGGTTTTGTCCATTGGTGTCGTTAATAGTGTTGTCAATGTCGTTTGGGTTTGTGTAGACTCCGGTGGGCATGGCAAAGTGCCATTAACTAAATAATTAAAAAATATTATAAGGTGCATTAACTGTGTTACAAATTTTTTACATACATCCTTTTATTACGTCTCCTAGGACGTCGAGTATATCGCCTAGTATAAGATTCAGGCAGACACTTACGAGATGATCAGTGTTTGTGGAGTTTGAACTGGTTTCGCCTATAGCATGGAAATCAGAATCAATATATTATACACTTGCTTAATATCATATCTTGTTATGTTGCTTACCGTCACCAACCAAATCTGCTACAACATCCAGATCCAATAAACCTGAACTTTGAGTAGTGTTACCTGAAATATTGGTTTGAAAAATTAAACTCTTAACTTTTTGACTATAAAATCTTACTCACCAGTTTGATCGCCAAGAAGACTACCCTGTAAATTGCGTAAGGTGCGTATAATATTTCCTAGTAAAACAGGCTCACTAGTCTTTGGATCTGTGGTGGCTGCCCTAAGAAGTTTTAAGCATCCGCTTAGTACCGGTTTCTCGACGTCATCGTAATAATCGTAATCAGTTGATGTTTGCTCACTGTTTGTGTTATTTGTTGCTGTCAAATCAAATATGCGCTATTATTCACTGAGAGTTTCCTTTGATTTTGAAGTTAATCACTTACTGGTTTGTGCGCCGCCTAAGTTATTGACTACATTCGCTAAGATTCCCAGTAGATTTTCCACGAGCCTCGTTTGACTGATTGATTGCAGAATACTCGTCTGATTATTTCCAGGATTTTGTGCTGTGCTGTTAGCTTGTCCAACAACGCTTGGCGCTAAGGTCGCAATAATTAATGCGACCAAGAGAAACGTGAGGGCCCGGCTCATTTTTGTTTCAGCTGTTATAAAAAGTGAAGTCTGCTAAGTGTTAATTGAACAAAATTCTAATGCCTTAAAGTTAATAATGCACAATTTTGCCTTGAAAACCCCCAAAACGCAATCCCTTGATGCAAAATTTATGGAATTTAAATCTTAAAACTTAGGAAAGGATTCTGTGCGAAAGAATTAATGATACCTTGATTTTGGGTCATGCTTTCAAAGCGCTGACGTAAACCGTCAATGCAACAGAGAGAAAGCGAATGAAAGGAGGATATCGCTCTTCACCTTGCCACTATCTGTATGACACACACAGACCCAAATTCCAGTGTCCTGATAGCTACTTTTGAGCGGCTGTGATTCCTATTTGGATACACATATTTAAGGACTTTAATCTACGTCTGCAAATAGTTGAAAAATGGCAATTTAAACAAGAGCCTATCTGAAGGTTCAGAATGTTGGAAAAGCCATTCGATAATAATTGTTTGTTGCGAGGAAGTGGTTTTGATTGCTACAAATTATTCAAAAGGAGTCGAGTCGCGACCAAGACGGCCATCAACATCGAGTCATGAACAAAACGTCAATAAAATATCAGAGGTTATTGAAAACCATTTCGAAAAGTCATTTGTATCTAAGAAAACTGAAACCATGCTTGGTTCCAAATTACTCAAGTTTTTCGAAAAACGGCGCCACGTCAACGTCTTTGAAACAATGCTTTCCGACAACCCGAATATCATAAAGCGTATTCTTACTGGCAATGTGTATTGAATTCCGGAAGCAGAAGATCCCTCAGTGGAATGTCAAAAATCAATGCCATGTTGCCAGTTTTCTTCGATTATCGAGGTGTTATCGTCTGCTCCAAACTCTTAATTTAACTTCTGTCTATTCAGCAAACTCAAACGACGGATTCAGGGAAACTGTTTTGAATCAATTAAAAACATTAAACTTGAATCGCTGCGAGTATTGAAGGCTATTCCGGAAAATGACAACAACTGCTTGGAGGTTTGGAAAAAACGTTGACACAAATGTATTGTGGCGAAGGGGCATAATTTTGAAGAGGAAGAAATATTTTTTGAAGATTAAATTAAGAATTTTTGAAGTTATGAAAAAAGTTTTACTATTATATCATTGTAGCATCCTTGTACCCGCAAACATACCTGGCTTTAATTTACAGCCTTTACTAAGTATCCTTCGAACCAGATCCACACGTAGCACAAATCGTTGTTACGTGCCTTTAAATTGAAATAAAAAACGCTATTAAAAAAATAACATAATGCTTTTTATATTAATTCTTGGAAGTTGAAAAAATGTACAAACTTTTTAAGGCTAAAATTTAAAAAATGTAAATATTAAATGTAAAGAAAACACAACACTCACGATGAGTATTCGCCGTCACTTACTAATTTCTACTGAATTAGCATTACTTAGTGTGTTTGAATTTATTTGTAAAAGCGCGTAAATTGAACGCGTCAAAAATGTGCGTGCGAATAACGGACGTGCAAATATTGCATTATGTCATATACATAAAATATGAACGACAACATAACTCCTGTAAGACACCCAAATGTAATGAAATAAATTACAATAGTTAATGCGTTATTCAATAAATTTTAAATACAGACTAAAAATAGCACAACGCGTTACAAATGTACGATTTCTTGCTAGTGAATTAGTTAGTATGGTATAGCAGTTAAGACCCACGTACTGGTTTAACTCAATAAATGTTTGTTTTTTCGCAAAGCTTTGCTGGCAATTTCTAAACCCCCTCCGAATAAGACGTATTGATATTGTGAGAAACTTGTTCGTATTAAAATTACACTCAAAAAGTAAACATTACCTAAGGATAAAGTCTTTGAAAATACTATCTTTAGAATAAATACCAGAGATACAATTAGAGTCATATGTGAGCCGAATATTCTCTTTCGAGGCGTCAATCGTTTCGTGATAGTTAGATATACAATAGAATACGGGAGAATACCGATCCGCTTCCATTCTGCCGATAGCGGCTCTTGTGTGTCTTTTCTTGCTAGCTCATCAGCTTTTTACAGTTTCCCGCGATAACGCTGTGGCCACTCCTCCAATAATTTCTTCCTACCTACAACTCGCTCACCGATATATGAGTAGAGAAGGAGATGCCAGTGCTCGGTTAGGCGACTCCATAATCTAAGTATTCCGGTATGAAGTCAAAGTGAGTGAGGATTTCCGAGTGTTCAGTCTGATGGCAGCTTTCGCAACCATACACCCTGCGGCGAAATCCACGGGCAATATGCACAAATTCTGGGGCTCTATAGCGTTCCTCATTGAAATCGTAACAGCGTCTCAACAATGGCTTGTGAGCAATCATCACTCCAAATCTGACAATTTTATTTATTAACATACCTATTGAACCAAAAGTGGACTACATCATTGTGCAAACTTTTTTTTAGTGAAAATCGGCGTCGCAGTTGAGGGTTATTCGGCTTCAGTTCTTGCATGTTTTGGATTCTGTTAGTCCGCGCACTAAGATGCTACCGCAAATTCCGAAAAGTGAGTCGGCTAAGTTTCAATTGTTACGTGCTCTCGCGGATGGACTACTTCGGGTCTTCTTCAGTACCTAACTCTGCTGGGCGATTATGTCGACTCGGTTGGATGCAGCACGCATTTGTCACGTGAACCGAAAATTTATTTTTGTAAATAATGTTTACAATATGAAAACGTTGTTTCCAGGTAAGTCATATTGAGATGGCAAACCAAACTAAATAAAAATCCAGGAACAGCTGCCAAAAGCGCCAACTTCGTAAAGAGCATTCTTTCATTAAAAATCACACATCTAAAAAACACTCAAAACCTATTTTGAGAGTTCTCAGAGTTTGCTTCATCCGACTTTTTCACAACGCTCCTTTTTCCACAAACTTTAAGAAACTGATGTAACAACCACTTACGGAGGTCGAATTCTTCGCAAAATCTAAGATATAGAAAGTGGTAATGATGTAGCACCGAATGAAATTTTGCTCTCTTTGAAGCTAAGTCAATCTTTGAACTGTATGCGTTAGTAATGTCGAGTTCAATCACTGCAGATTTGTTTTCTTTAGAGTTTTTCGAATCTAAGGAACCATATTAGGCCGCTATTGCAAAGTCGAATAGTAGTTTAATCCGATAAAAGCATGGTAACTATTATTATATACGACCTTGCATCAGTCTACAACTTGTATTTCTTTTCTTTTCGCTTATATCCAAAGTATCTATCTAAGCAGCCATTATTTTTTGCAGCCGAGGTTGAAAAAATGTTTGTATATCATGTTCTCGAAAAATAATCGAAAATATTTGAGGCTTTGGACTGCGACTTATGGTCTGTTGTGCTCTCTGCTATATCACATCTCTTCACCTCACAAAATATTGCTTTAGTTGTGTAGTAATTTTAGTTACAGAAAACAATGTGTCATATATTTTCAAATCAGAATTCAAAAATTACTATTCTTATTTCTCTTAGCGGTAAGCCCTTACTTTTCGATATCGAGTTCCGTAATTGCACCTACTGCTACTTACTGCTTTTTTGGTCCGGTTTTTTTTTATTTATTAAGACATATCATTACCAGAAATAAACGCTCTCTGAATTTCATTAAGAAACCGCTTAGGTTGACTAATATTTTTATTTTTTTTTTATTTTATTAAAGCTTACATAATAAACAAATGATTAAATAAACTAAAGTACGCAGCGCTAGCATCAAAGGCTTTCGGCTGACGTTGACTAATATATATGGTTTATATGTACCAAGTTCAGCGGATATTTGAAAACCCGTCTATTACGAGTATGCGAGACCAGGGGAAGTTTAGCCCTGATTCCATTCAATTAAGGCACTCCTAAAAAAAAAGTCTTCTCGTATGAGCCTTTAGTGCACTAAGTACTACTAAAACTCGGAGTAATTTTTCGACGTTATAAACTTGCGCATGTTGGAAAAATATGGAGACTGAGAAAACGTGATCTGGATTGTATTTAGCTTTGTAGCAGTACCTTGTCTCTGAAGAACAACGAACTTGTTTTTAACTCGTGGCTGGCAATAAAAGATATGGAATTTGAGTACCATTTCGAGAAAATTGTATAATCATATTTTGAACATCCCTAGTAATGCTAGAAATGCAATGGTTGCAAATACTTTCATTACCAATAAAATTGCTATGTCATGCATGTTGTTGTTCTCTCAAATGTTATTTAAACCAAATTGTACATATGTTAATAAAAATAAACAGACATACATATTTACAGACATCCACATAAGTACAGCTGAAATTATTTCAGCAAGACCATGCATAAAAATGTTGAAAAGACACGCGCCAGAGCAACGCATAAGCGCCAATTAACTGGGTTAACGGTGGTATGAGGTACTTAAGAAGTTATGTGTGAGCATGTATGAAGAAATTCTAAATTAAATTAAATAAAAGCTTCAAGTATTTATAGATTTAAAACATGGAAGATAAACTCATTTCTGGCGGAAATGTTTTTGATAATTTTTTTGAAACCAATACGCTAGTTTACTACTGTACGAGACTAAAAAATATATTGCTTATCATTTCTGAAATTCAAACAGTTGCGTTTAGAGCGAAAGCGCTTTCTTGGTTTTCTGCGTTGTTGTTGTGATTGGCGCAGTTGTCGCAGAGAACAGACAACCTATGTGGGTTTAGAACATGGTGTCGTTGTCGTAAGGGTGCTGGTTGTTGTAGTTGTTGTTGTTATATTGGTATTAGTATTGTTGGTTTTGCGTTAACGGAAATCATAGTTGTTTCTGTATATCCACTTCACGGTTTCCTACTTAAAAAAAACGTGGAAACCTAGAATTTAATGGTTTTTTTTTATAATTTATTTTTTTTAAGATTATCGCTTTAAAATATTGGCCGCGGCTACGTCTGAGATGGTCCATCCCTGAGTGCAATTTTCAATGACTCGTTCGAGCATTTCGACTGGTAACTGCGGAATTACACGCGTGATGATCTGCTTTAAGGCCTGAATCGAAACGGGATTGTCCGCATAGATCTTAAACTTTATATATTTCCACAGAAAAAAGTCTAACGGTTTGGTATCACACCATCTTGGTGGCCCATTGACTGGCCCAAAATGTGAAATCATCTGCTCACCGAAGCATGGATAATATGAAACGAGACTCTTTGATTCGAGAGAGAGCTGTCAAAACTCGCATTTTTTATAACATTTGCCAGTGCTGCCACTGCTGAAAAATATTAGCTTGGGTAGTTAATAAATTATACAAAACTCTAAATTAAACATTTTGAGAATGCGTGCATATGTAAATGCTAAAATGCAAAAACATTAATTAATTTACATAAACATTTACTTTGCCAAAATATGTTCGCACAGTTCAATGAAATTTCATTTCACACTAATTTCGTCAGGTAATTATAGCGGTTTACTGCTGACATCCCGCCTTTTCTTAAATCAACTGTCAGAAATTCCCTGATCTCCATCGCTGTCAAATAATCAGCGAACGCGTTTGAGAGAAAAAGAGAGCCAATGCTAAAGTCTCCTATCATATTATCCATGACCGAAGTGTTCTCTCAATTAATTCACTAATTGATGGGGTGTGTGAAAAGTGGCGCCGTCCTGTTGAAAGCAAATATCGTCGAGATAGCGAGCTTCAATTGCAGGCATTAAATACTTGGTAATCATGTTAGTTTTCACCGGCAGTAGACCGATTATGTTGACCATAAGTTGTACGAAGCTCGTGAAACACATTCTTTGCAGAACGTGAATTTTCGTAATAAAGTTGAACGATTTGTAAACTTTGACCTGGTAATGTTATGCCAAACCATAACCATACTGAACCAAAGTAACATGACACTTTAATACGACTCATGCGTGTTCTGTCAAACAAGGCTATTGAAGAAGTACCTTTACTTAGATTACTCATTTCATTATTGATTTTCAAAATCGTATAAACAAATTTGCAAATTGAATACAGATTTGATGTGCCGAACTTTCAGATGTCACTCAAGCACTTCAAAACTTTGAAAAGGATGTAGACACATCAAAAAGCAAGGAAACTGAGAGCTATCTAAATTGAAGCCCTGAGATGTTGAAATACCATTTTGCATCGGCTTGAGACTGATCAAACCACGATGATGAAAAATTCCTTTTAGCCGAGAGATTTTCGGAAAATTCGAGTAGACAATCGGCCTTAAGTTTCGTAAAGAAATATTTGAAAATCAGACATCAGAAAAGTGTTCAAAACTGGCTTGATTCAGTCTAGGGCGTTAAGCAGTTGGAGTTTTTTGTATGTTTTCTGTTCACAAATTTCCTGAAGGAAATGAAAATGTTACATTTTCAAATGGACAATGCTCTGAATGGTAAATGTTCATGTGAAATATAATTGTGACAAAAATATATTCGGAAATTGTAAATAAAACGCAAAATATTTAATTATTCATCAATATATATTTTGTCGCCTTCAAAGTAATTTCCACCAGATGTAATACTCTAATGTTAACGATCTTTGAAGACCACGAAACTTTTTTCATAAGCACTTTTTGGGATGACCTTCATCTCCTGCAGCGAATTTCGTTTTATCTCTTCGAACGAGTAAAAACGGAGCGGTAATTTCATCTTGGGGGACAAGAAAAAATCATACCGAGCCAAATCTGGTGATACGGTGGTGGATCGATGGTTTTCATTGCATTTGTGGCTTTAAATTCCGTCACAATCATAGCTTGATACCGTCTAACCCTACTTAACAAATTTAAGATGCACAAAATCACGAATATCGACTTTTTGGTTTCGGCTCGTTCTTTCCCTTCATTTCAATTATTGTTGACTTATTTGCATCATAAAGCCATGTGAGGATGTCGTAAGAGAACTGTTTACGGCACTCTCTAAAAATAAAAAAAAAAATCAGCTTTATCGGGATGATTCGAGCAAGAATGAGTTTCGTTTATGGATGTTAAATAATATGATATATGTATATATATCATAATAAAACGGACTCGCGAGAGATGCCGAGTTCACTTGCCATCTCTCTAACCCTTCACTGTTTTAATACTACTGAGGTGTACCGATTTACGCAGCTGCTGTAAACAAACTGGTTGATAGATTGCGCTTATATTTGGCATACTAGTTAAGGACAGTCCTACTAACTTATCGAAATACATTTTTTTTTAAATTCCATTTATGCGCGTATTTTAAATTACAATTTCGGGGTACTTTACTCTCACAATGTATAGCTCTACTTACTTCGAGCTGTTAAATCTGTTAACTACAAAGCACAACTTACTCCCCCATTTCCAACTACTATTTATCTAAAAAAAATATTGAAGACTTTAAGATAAAAATTTAGCAGATAACAGCGCATAGCCGCACGTCTTGAACGCTTCTGGCAGACATGTACCAAACAGCGTTTCTGATAACTGGCTTGAGCTGAAGAAGTTGCAGAAGAACACTAGCACACAACTGCAAGTCAAGCTTTGGCTGCGGCATATAAAGCAATCAGAAAGCCGTCTTCAACCACATTGTGGCCGTGATCCACGCATTGGCTCGGAAGTGCGGTTTCTTGTTCGCAGAATCAAAATTATAAAAAAAAAACTTTGTATTATTTCTGAAAAAGAATAATATACTTAAACAGTTGCGGTTAAAAAAAGCAAAAATAAATATTTAACGGATATTCAAACTACTACAATGCGACGCGTCGTTGTTTGGCTATTATTAGCCACAGGCTCCGCTCTTTTAGAGCATACTGGAGCTGGTAATATTGGTGCCAAGCAGATAAGTGAGTGAAAAGAATAGAAAATATAGAAATAATAGAAATGCAAAATATGCAAAAAATAAAATAAAAAAATTTGAATTTAAAAAAATTTTACATTAGAGGCTAAAAATTTGAAAGACTTACTATAATTTTTAAATTTTATATTTTTAAATAAATTCTACTAAAATTATAAAAAACAAAGAAAACAAGTTAACTTCGGCCAAAGCAGTGATATCCTTCAGATCGGCAGTTTGTAAGGTAGCTGTGTTTATGACACAACGGCTCGATCCACACAATTTCTCCGGAGAGATTTCTTACAGCGATGATTTGTATATATGAGCAGCTTCTTGGTAAAGAAAGGACGAACTTTTTCTTGGTTGGACAATGGAAAGTCTGCACAATTGTCATCGATTGAGGAATTGAGTTCAGCATCTCCTGGTGTTATGCTTTAACTGCCATGCAGCAGGCTAGAGAAGTGCTCCCTCCACAATTTCAGTATGTTTGGGCATCAAAAACTAGATCCCCTGGGGTGTTCTACAAGAGTATGCTGCGTTCATGAAATCTTCTTTTAGTTGGCGTAAATTTTCGCTCCGTTTTCTAGCAGCTTGTCAAGCTCTTCGTACTCACGAATTTCGGCCTTTCTCTTTTTTTGTCTCAGCTTCGCGATGTCGTACCTTCATTTTTTGCTTCAGAGAGGTGGGTGTGTATCTAGGGTGTGTAGCTAGTGGTAGGAGGTAATGTTAGCAACTCGGAGCGTACGCACGTCTAAAACACTGGAGCCGTATCTTCGTCTATCACAACAGAGTCGATCTGTTTGGTGGCTTTTCAACCCATTTGGGGAAAATCATCATAAAGGCTGAATTTACCGACCGTTAAGTCAAAGATAGTTTTTTTTTGTCCATGCACATAAATTGACAGTTTGGTGTGGTTTTTGGTCTGGTGGATTCATCGGTCTGTAGTTCATTCAAATTGACGCGGGTAATACTGTTACTGTCAATGTAGAGCGGTATAAACCGATGATAGACTTCTAATGGCCACAATTGGCATAAGTGGGTATTGACAAAATTTTGCGAGAGAAGTTTGCAGATTCGAATATTTGCAGAAATTGTGGCATTGAATGACCGCCAAGAAGTTTTGATTTAACATCATTCGACAAGTACTTGTGGGATTATTTGAAGGCATTGGTCTTTAGTAATAAACCAGACTCTCTTCAAGCTTTAGAAGTCAATACTGAACGTGCTATTTATGACATGCGTTTTGATTTAGAAGAAAAGTAGAAACCATTTGACTGATGTTATATGCAGAACTTAATTGTATCGATTCTACTTCACACAACACAAAAAAAAAAAAAAAAAAAAAAAATAAAATAAAATAAAAAAAAAATATTTGTATTTTCTTGACTGATGAAAAGAAACAAACTTTGATTTTTTTTTTTAAGAAATCATAGTACTCTTATTGGAAAACCCTGTATTATACATATACATATTCAAAAATATTATATATTTYTTTTGCAGTGAACTCCGGAACCCAAATCGCCGGCAGCAATAATGCTGTTACTAGCCTCTTGAATGTG